TTTATTTATTTTTGGGACAGAGAGAGACAGAGCATGAACGGGGGAGGGGCAGAGAGAGAGGGAGACACAGAATCGGAAACAGGCTCCAGGCTCTGAGCCATCAGCCCAGAGCCTGACGCGGGGCTCGAACTCACGGACCGCGAGATCGTGATCTGGCTGAAGTCGGACGCTTAACCGACTGCGCCACCCAGGCGCCCCTAATTTCTGCCTTTTAATTGCAATTTAATCCATTTAACTCATTTCCATTAAAATTAACTACCGATAAGTAAGGATTTACTTCTACCATTATTCTATTTCTTCTCTATATCTTGTCACATCTTTCAATATCTATATCTGTACTTTATATCTTTTTTATTTCCTTTTTTTGTGTTTCATTGATTTTTATTAGTGGTCTGTGTTGATTACCTTCCCATTTCGCGTTCTGTGTATTTTCTTAGTGGTTGACCTGGGGATTACGATTAACAACTTAAATTTATTGTTTAAAAATTTTTTTTAAACTTGATTTTTTTTTTAAGTTGAGAGAGTGAGTGCGAAAGTCGGGGAGAGGGGCAGAGGGAGAGAGAGAGAGAGAATATGTTAAGCAGGCTTCACTTTCAACACAGAGCCTGACGTGGGGCTCGATCCCACGACCCTGGGACCATGACCTGAGCCAAAATCAACAAACGCTTCACCAACTGAGCCAGCCAGATGCCCCAACAAGTTAAGTTTATAACAATCTATGTCGGATTAATAGCAACTTAGCTTCAGTAGTACACAAAACTTCCGTTCCTTACGCAGCTCTTTCCTCAGAGATTTAGAATTGTTGTATGCACGTGTCTTAAATTATAAAGGAAGGGAAAGAAGTGATAAACCAAAGCCATAATAGTCCTGGGTCTCCTATTTACCCCTGTGGTCACCTTTACCAGCTCCCTCTCTTCCTATGAACGGACACTGGCCAGGGTCCTGAAGACCTCCCTTCCTCCCTTTTCTGTTTCTAGTAAGGCAGGTCTGCTAGGGACGAACCTTCTTGGCGTTTGTTTATCTGAGAATCTGTTCATCGCCGCCTCATTTTCTGAAGGACAGCCTGATAGAGAATTCTGATACAGACACAGAATATTCTCGGTCGCCTGTTTGATTCTTTCGGCCCTTTGAATGTGTCATCCCGCAGCCCCCCCACCCCCCACCCCCGCCTCCAGGGTATCTGAGAAGAATGTGGCTGTTAATCATGGTGGGGATCTTTGATGTGACACGCATGCAGCTTCTCTCTTGCTGTCTCCCGGAGTCTCCCCTTCGATACTTTGATGAAAATGTATCTCCGGGTAGATCTCTTTGTGTTTATCCTGCTCGGGAATTGCTCAGCGTCCTCAAGACAGGGATTCATACCTTTTGTCAAATCTGGGGCATTTTCGGGGCGCCTGGGTGGCTCAGTCGGTGAAGCGTCCGACTTCGGCTCAAGTCACGATCTCGCGGCCCGTGAGGTCAAGTCCCGCGTGGGGCTCTGCACTGACAGCTCAGAGCCTGGAGCCTGCTTCGGATTCTGTGTGTGTGTGTGTGTGTGTGTGTGTGTGTGTGTGTGTGTCTCCCTCTGCGCCTCCCCTGCTTGCGCTCTCTCTCTCTCTCTCTCTCTCTGTCTCTGTCTCTAAAATAAATAAACTTGGAGAAAAACTCTGGAGCGTTTTCAGCCTGGATGCTGCAGATGAAGTATGTTAATCCTCCACCGTTTCGGTGTCAGCCCCGCCCCCTGAGCGTGCTGTGGCTGAGGGACCTCCCCGATGGCCCAGCTAGGGGCTGTCATCTTCATTCTCCAGATGGGGACACTGAGTTTCAGGGAGAAGCGGTGACCGCCCGCCCATCCCTTGGGTCCTTCTGTGACATCGTTCATCGCCCATAATGTGAAGGGTGCTGGGTTGGGGGCAGAGGCGTCATCGAGAGCGATGTCCCGGACCCTGTGGGGGCCCCGGGGAGCCCACCCCCCCTCCACGCTCCCCCTGTCCCAGATGGCAGGGGAGGGGCCGAAGCTGTCCTCTTCCTCTCTCTCACCCTCAATCCCTGGCAGTTCTGCCGCCTCCTTACCGTCTCCAGGAAGCACAGGTGTGCATCATAAACAACTCCAGGTGCGGCGTCCCGGTTTCCTCAGTTACGACCCGGGTGACATGATTTGTGCTGGCTCTGAGAATGGCCAACGTGACGCCTGCAAAGTGAGTACGCCTGCCCCCACCAGGGCCTTGCTGGACCCGGGCACCACCCCTCCCCACCTTGGGCCTGGGAGCAACCCCCCTGGTGCCCACCAACCCACCCGAGTTTATTCATGAGAAAACAACCATGGGCCTTATTTCTCCAGCTTGTACAACAAGCATTAATTGTTTTGCCTTCATTGTATCACCTTTGATTCTCACCTGACCCCTGGCGGGGGAGGGAAAGGGGCAATTTGAGACCGATGCCCACTCTGCAGATGCAGAAACTGAGGCTCGTTCGCTTCCCCTCCTGCTGTCGCCACAGCTGTCCCTGCCTCTCCGCCAGCCCCTCACCTGCCCCCTGCCCCGCCAGGCCTGGCTCACCCGCGCCGCTCCCCAGGGTGACTCCGGTGGCCCCTTGGCCTGTGAAAAGAGAGGTGTGTGGATTCAGGTTGGAATCGTGAGCTGGGGATCGGGCTGCGGTAGCCCCAACTGGCCCGGGGTCTACACCAACGTCAGTGTGTATTTCGACTGGATCCAGACGCTGATGGCCTGCGGC